TTCAACTCCCCAATGTCTAATGTCCGTCAACGTTTGTTGTGTTGTCCTGGCAATCCCAACGGACGAATCAATTGTTCACAAATGTTTGCTTGTTCCCCCAGAGACCTGACCCTGCTTCCCTCCGAGTCGGGCCAGATGGGCGCCGATTGGCACGACGTTTATGCCTCGACCTAACGACCTCCGCAGGTCTTCGAGTGCACCGACGAAGGGAGGATGCAGACCGTTCGGACAAGCGGGAGTGGACAGTCGTCTCGTCTCCGTAACCCCTTGCCCACTGCCCACCGCCCCCCGCCCCCGTTCTCGGCCGATGTTCGCCGGACCACCGGTCCCAGCGGCACTGGACACCTGACGAGTGGTACAGGCCGAAATATGCACCTTGCGCCCCCTTGAAGGGGTCATCTCGACCGCCTCAAGGGTGTACTCAGATGGAGTCGAGAATGGAGAAACTGGTCTCGAAGTGATACTATTCTATACACACACACAACCATACATATATTCACGCCCCTTGACCCGCCATGACCCGGTTTCAAGTGGTGCCAACCACGATGACAAAGTCTATTTCTTTTCTTCGTTCATGAGCAGGTTTTCGAGACTACCACAATTGAATATAGCTGAGTTGATACATTCATCCATTTGTTCATTTATCCATCCATATCCACATGCATTCATAATTTCATTCATTCATACATTCATTCGTTCATTTATATATTCATACAAATAAGTATTCCTACATTCCTACATTTCTACATTCCTACATTCCTAGGACCATACATTCATACATTCATTCATTCATAAATTCATACATTCATACATTTAAATATTCCTACATTCAAACATTCCTACATTTATACATTCCTACATTCCTACATTCCTACAAACATACATTTATAAATTCATTCATTCATAAATTCATACATTCATACATATATATATTCATACATTCATACATTCAAATATTCCTACATTCAAATATTCCTACATTCCTACATTCCTACATTCCTACATTTAAACATTCCTACATTCCTACACTCCTATTTTCATAAAATCATACATTCATACATTCAAATATTCCTACATTTCTACATTCCTACATTCCTTCATTCATACATTTATACATTCAAACATTAATACATTCATACAATTAAACATTCGTGCATTCATTCATTCATACATTCATACAATTAAATATTCCTACATTCCTAGATTCCTACATTTCTACATTCCTACATTCCTAAATTCCTACAACCATACATTCATACATTCCTACATTCCTACATTTCTACACTCCTATTTTCATAAAATCAAACATAAATACATTCAAATATTCCTACATTTCTACATTCCTACATTCCGTCATTCATACATTTATACATTCAAACATTCATACATTCATACAATTAAACATTCGTACATTCATTCATTCATACATTCATACAATTAAATATTCCTACATTCCTACATTCCTACATTCCTAAATTCCTACAAGCATACATTCATACATTCATTCATTCATAAATTCATAAATTCATACATGCATATATTCATACATTCATACATTCAAATATTCCTACATTGAAACATTCCTATATTCATATAATTAAACATTCGTACATTTATTCATTCATACATTCATACATTCATACAAATAAATATTCCTACATTCCTACATTCCTGCATTCCTACATTCCTATATTCCTACATTCCTAAATTCCTACAAACATACATTCATACATTCCTATATTCTTACATTTCTACATTTCTACATCCATTCATCCATTCATCCATTCATCCACTCATCCATTCATCCATTCATCCATTCATCCATTCATCCA